ATCACCGGTGTTAAATATCATTTGAGAAAAAAGTCACGGACCAAAGAAGTAAATGTCACACGATGTGTGTGTGTGTGTGTGTGTGTGTGTGTGTCACAGGTGTGTATGTGTGTGTGAGTGTGTGTACGTGTGTAGTCGTGTCGTGTGTGTGAGTGTGTGTGTGTGTGTGTGTGTGTATGTGTCACGGTGTTTAATAGTGTGTGTGTTTGTGTGTGTCTTGCCAAGTTGGGGGGGGGGCAATTAATGCTATCTCAGCTAGCAGATGGCAATCGATGATGTCACTCCTCGATCCCCGCATATGCACCAACATGGCGTTGCGTAACGTTAACATTACAGTCAATGGCCCTTGAATTCTGTGGGCCTCCGGGTGTTTTATTTAACACAGCTGAGAGGCCCTGCTATTTCAACCACCATATGTAACGTCTTTCGTAATTCGATACATAACAAGTTTCGCCATATTTATGCAATACCCGGATACCCCATGGAAGACCTAAGGATACACAGATACGTTGTTTTGTATTTATCTTCAGTGTCGTATTTCAGATCCGTATGAAACATTTCACCAAATGAGTGCCATCTGATCCCGGGGCCAGGCACCCTCCCCGCCTGGCATGGTTCCAGAATGGACAGGTTTTCTTGGCAGCGGCTAGAAATGTCAACAGTAAAGTCAAGTTGCCGCATGACTGCATCCAAATTAATGTCAGAAGTACGTGTGCAGAATAGCAACGTTTAACAGCAACTTCAGATGTCCCGTGTGTCCATATGTTACGAAGAAAAACCTGCCAGATATAACTACAGGTGGAGGATATAAGTGAAATAAAGCAACAGTTGGCTACATAAATGGCACAACAATCAATAGGTTTCTAGTAGCTGTGATCCTGTCCAAATACGCATGCTTCCGCGCCCAGGCGGATTTTTCTGGAATTGTCTGGTCAGTTGTGAAGCGTTCAGGATATGCTGCAGCCGCCAAGCAGCTCATCTTCATGCCAACCTGTGTTTAGTCACTCGTTTGGACTAAAGACCTGTTGGTTGGTGCACAGATCGGTCGAAACACAGCGCCCCCTTGCGGATGGATACTGATATGCCATGGAAAGTTCGTTTGATCCAAGGAGGTTAAACCAAGGAGGTTAAAAATTGAACCAATGGCAGCCCTTGGTACATGCATATGTAGTAGGAATTTGATCCCCAAGTAGACTTTACCATTACCTAATGCTAAGTTATAGATTTCGATTTACAAAATGTAACGTTACAGAAGAAAGCTAAGAAATGAAGGTGTATTTGCGCCAACTGTATGTTGACTTGAAACAAACATTTAATCCAAGATAACGTATGCAAATACAGTTCGATCTATTCTATCTCGGAGCACAAAGGTCTTCTTGACGGTGTTCTGTAGCGCTAGCTATAGATTTAGCTTAACTGATAGGTATAGGTATAGGTATGAAATTGTATTGATCTTTGCTTGATACAATACTTTCTCCATCATTTCTTACATCCAGATTTATGACCATTTATGCAGATGAAGATTAACTTTACCACATTGGCATTGGCTACTGGGATATACTGTTATACGTACAAAGTATACATTGCATTTGATTCTTCCATTTCATTCACTGAGCACTTATCAATCGTTGACGTTAACTGAAAAACGTTGCCATTATGTCCTTTCCATTGAATTCATGATCATCTGGCCACATGTACCTCTGCTGTACGTATATATACATATACGTTCCTTGGCCACATCCCTCTTTTCATACATACGTTTTTCCATATTCAGTACTGAATAGCTAGTACTTTCTTTGACTTCTAGTAGATCTATATTGTTGTCAGCATATGTACAATGTGACTGGCGCGCTTTCAAGGTCAATGCGCACATCATGAGAATTTTGAGTACTACACTACTACTAGCTTAGTTACATTTCCTACCTAATTTGCTAGCCTATGGTAATTATGTTATTTAAGTTAAACCATGAGCTGATTGTGATGATTCAACGTTCGTTGTGTATAGCGACTGAGCCGGGCCCAGGGAGGTCTACTCTGGACCGAGAACGCTCTCCATCTTACGGTACTTCTTGGCGTTTCTTCTGCGGACGTACCAGAACACTCCGAGCGCCACCAACACCACGGCGACGCCGACGCCTAGCCCGATCTCCAGGCCGTACGATTTCCCGCCCTTCGAGTCCTGAGAACACTCCTCCGCCGAGGAGAACTGTCCCTTCTGCACGTCGAACGGCTGAACGTGAACCTGGCGCACCAGCATGTCCACGTCTTTGCTTATGGCGACGTGCACGTCCGCGTCACACTTGTAGGACCTGTAGATAGTTATATAGATTTTCAGTCATCTCATGTCTACCAGTAATGACACGGCACACAATAGAATTCATCTCCAGTTGTTTTAAAAAGAGAGAGAAGTCTTCAAGACCTAGGTTAGATAGAATGTTCTTCCTAGTAGTTCCCAAGACTATTTATTCTTGTATTATATGTACTTAATGTTACTCAGTATGATATTTATGTACATGTAACATCATATGTATGCATTTAGCCCCATGGGCATGAACATGCAATAAAGATTCATCATCTACAGTTCAATTTTCTTTTCAATATTCCTTGCTCCAAATTATGCAAAGAAAGTATCAATTCTGTTTTACAGAAAAGCGCATGTTCGGCACTCTGTGTTACAAGTAAAATAATTCATGAAGAACAATGCACTTTAGTTGGAACCTGTTTATGTTGTGCTTGTTTACATGGCAAATATTTTAACAAGGGTTCCCGAAAGGCCACCTGAAAGGGTCGAAGGTCGTGATTCGGGTGGAAAGTTTCAGAAAATGAGACGAACATGTGCCGAATGAGGATATGACAAAATATTTCTACGAAGAAAGTATCAATTCGTCTAGATATAAAGAAGAGAGTACAGGACCTGTCCTGATCTGCCGGGAACACGGCCAGTCCGTTGTTGGACACGGTGTGAGCCTTGTTCGGGGTCATTGACCCGGGGAAGACTGCCGGCATCTCTGTGTACGCCAGGGATATCGAGGAGACGTGATATTTGGCCTTCCCGCCACCCTTCGCCGACTTCTGGAAATCGAAGGTGACGTTGAAGTTTCCCCCGTAGAAGGTCAAGATCAGGCTGGACTTCTCGGGGCCACAGTTCCCGGAAGCGCTGGCCTTGACGGGCACGTTGAAGACACCCTTCCCCGTGTGCTTGTTCTTCTTGGTGTAGCTTGCCGTGAACTGTAGGCCCATGTCTGCCAGCAGGCACACGTCGTTCTTGGAGTTCTTCAGCTTGTAGTGGCCTTGTTTGGGCTCGCCTGCAGGTCCAGGCGTAGGCATAGGGGTGGTGGCGGGAGGTTTGGGTTTGGGTGTGTGGGTATGGTTGGTGGGACCGGGGGTAGTCACGTTGGTGACCGGACCTACGGTGTGGGTGTGGTTGGTGGGGGGCGGCACCGTAGTGGTCGGTAGGATCGTGGTGGCGTTAGAGATCGGGAACATGGTGGTCGTGCCGCCGTCCTGGGAACACTCCGTCGCGTCGCCGAACGTCCCGTTCTTCACGGCGAACGGCTGGACCTGCCAGTCGATGATTTCCAGCGTGACGTTCGCGCCGCCCACCTCAAGAGACTGCCTGGCTTTACACAAGTAAGACTTGCCGACGTCGACCAGGAATAGGTCCAAGTTCTTTGCCGTTACCGTGGTTGTCTTATTGGGATGCTTCGAAGAAGGGAAATGGGGAAGACTTTCCTTGTAGGTCACCGCAAGGTTGTCGATGCTGAAGTTCTTCCCGTCTGATTGGAAAATGGCGGTGATGTCGAAATCGTTCTTAAAACGGAGCGAAATCGTTGCATAGTGGTCCTCGCACGCACCCACGGCATTGGCGTCTGTCGGGAGGACATACTGCGCGGTCGCCGTGCCGTTGGGCAGCGTCTCGTACTCAACGTGAAACCGAACCCCCCAGCTTGCCAACAGACAGACTTCTCCCTGGTCGTTCTTGAGGCTGAAGTGTCCTACAGGTATACCAGGTGTCGGGGTGGTGACTGGCGGGGCGGTGGTGGACTCTGCCGGCAGTGTGGACAGCGCGTGGTCCTCAGGACACTCCTCCGATGCAGAGAACTCCTGCTTGTGAACGTCAAACGGCTGCACTTTGATATAGTCGACTGTGAAGTCTACGAGTTGGGTAACACCGGGGAACCCGAGAGTAAAGGTCGCGTTCGACTCACAGAGATAGGATTTAGAAGTGCTGGTCTCAAATTCGTGCAGATCGGTCAGGCTAAGTGGATTGGTCTCGTTCACGTACTTGGCGTCAGGAAATATCGATGGATCCAGGGTGTAATAAATTTGTATCGAAGAGAGAAAGGACTTGGGACGCAAAACGCCACTTCGCTCAAACCCCATCTTCAGACCAAACTGTTGATACCCCGTGAAGAAACCCAGTGAAATGTCCGCCTTCGAGCCGAGCGTGGACGCACACGTACCTGTGGCGACGCTGTCTATGGGAAGAGCGTAGGACACGACTCCCGTGGTGCCGTCGTTCTTCTCGTAGTTGACACGAAACGTAGCGGCGAGGTCGAGAAGGAGACATCTCTTCCCGCTGCTGTCTGTGACTGCGAAGTGCCCCACATCAGGATCGGGAGGCGCGTCGTAGGCAGCAGCTAGGGCGGAGGGCGTCCAACAGGATGACAGGAGTAGGATAACGGCGGTCACGTACTGGTATAACATGGTGGAAGAGAAGGTGTGAGAAGTGCGTACGTAGTTTTCTCTCAAGTTTTCACACGTTCGCGTCTCGTGACTCTACGCCAGAGCCTGGACTTCGAACCTCCGACCGGGCACAATGTGACCACGGTATTTACCATTACAGGGGAGGGGCAGGGGGAACCATGGAAACAAGATAAGATGAATTTGGGATATCTTTACGTAATATCTGATTTTAATTGTCGTTATGCAGTGTTCAGAGTACCATGTGTCCATATACTTTTCTTTCTATCACAATGCTGATCTTGGCTGACCAATGGTTGAAAATTTTAAATTTATCACAAAGAAATAGCATGAAGTATCTCCTACGGTAAAATACTATTACGCGCATATGACGATGATAGCACTATACGAGTATTAGCAGTTGTACGGTATATAGGCATGTACATGTAGTAGCACACACAGACGGACTTTGAAACATGTCGGAAATCCCTGACATTGTTTAACGGCGAACAAAGGTAACAGCGTATAATGTCGACGTTCGATAATTGATGTATTTGGGATTTCGTAACACTTTTGACCGATAAATCGGATAAAGTCAAGTCCAAAGTTCAATAACTTCAATTGGTGTCATGCGCCTTTTCTTGTTTTGGGTGTCTTGATTCATTGAGCTCATTTCAACTTGCAAAAAGCGGTACGAAATGTAGATGTTGAGGTACGACGTCGACGATTAAAGGTCTCCCAAATCCCATGGCTTTGCTGAAAGAATGTTCTGTCTGTAACGACGACTTTTCACTCGTTCGGTTCGTGTCTCAAGGTTTTTACCTAAAGAATTCTATGAGGTGGCATTTGTTTACCTAACAATCATGTACCAACGCGGTACTCTACTGAGCGTTACTTTTATCTGCGACAAAAGAAGAAGAAGAAGTCGTCTTATTGTGCTGTTTCTGCATGATTAAACCATGTAACTACTCCAGAAAAGGAAACAACAAACGTATGTAATCAAAAGAGATAATTCTATACCGGGCAGCCATCTTGACTGGTATACAACAGACGGACAGAAGACGAGAAGACCTGTTTCACGGTCTGTGAGATGGACATTTACACATACTCTGACTTGAGGTTAGTTGGAGCGTACACATACGTTGTAAATTTTGGTGTGACCTTCTAGTATGCCACGTCCAACATTGTTACCACTACTGAAGAAGATACCAGTACTGTACAGCAACATTGTGTTGATGTCAGGCATGCTTTAGGTTCCAATAGTCCATCACAAAGGAGTGTGTCACCTTTTCTGACCTTCGTTGGTACAATTAATGTTCATCCATATATCCTTAAGTAGCCGTCGCTTGTTCGGCATGCAGGATTCATAATGGGAACTCATTAACGAAATGGCACTGGCTGTCCAAATCTGTCATTCAAGAAAGGCCTCACTGGACATTTAAGATGCATCCTTCTTTCTTCTGTCATCAAACAGGTTACTTCACCTGTCTTAGCCTTTGTTCTAAGATTGAGGGGGGGAGAATGCCCAAACCTTTGTCAGCTAGGTGATTTTATGTACTGCGTGGTGAAGAAGCAATACTGCAGGGTAGTTTGAGCATTCCGGTCACTGGACATCAGTAGGTAGGGTTTAGCTATACTATAGCTAGGTATGTGTGAATAGGTTATACTAGATATTTTTGTAACCTATATCTTAGAATTAGAAATGTTCGACATCTACCAGGGCTACAGTCTGGACTGAGTGGCGGGTCGGGGCTCTGATGATGGCACGGTGAAGGTAGGAAGGAGTCCCGTGTGTTGAGAGGGTGGAGCAAATAGGCCTGGCTCGTCATAAAGGGAAGCATTCTATTTGTCAGACTTCGTATTGATCAAGACTGATCTAAGCTCTGAGGGGAGGCCAGCGTGTCATTATACCACATTTTTAAATGTATCATCTACTCAGTTGAAATCATTAGTTATGAGTTAATTGAAGTTCCTCTTAGCACGACTGTACTAGTATGCGGATATACAAGGTCTGACTCTCATATTGACTACTGGGCAAAAGCACCAAGTAGTTCAGTACACCTGTATTTGCCACTGCGTTGGCCTTGTGGTCGTTATATCATGACAACAACGCCCCATCATGAGCTGGAGATAATTGAGCCTCGGCCATTAACCACTGGAAAATTAATTAGGTAGTTATTTAAACTATCAGTTAAATCTATTGCCCATAATACGCCTCAGGGTCTCGCATTGAACCAAGACAAACACGAAGAACCGGTGGCGGGCAGTCACCTCCATTTTCCCACGGTACGTTCTGCGTAGTCCCCACCAGACTCCTTTGCAGGCTAGATAAATAGTAGAAATCGGCCTAAAAGGCGATTTAATTGGCCAAAGGAGTTGGCCGGCTAGGGGGGGGGGTCCATTTGCCTGTAAGGACGGCCAACTCCTTTGGCCAATCAAATCCCCATGTTAGGCCGATTTCTACATTTATTCAGCCCGCAAAAGGAGTCTGGTGCTGACTACGTTCCGCTTAGGTGGGCCACCTTTTACCTCTCTCTCCCTCCCGTAGACACCTGTTGCGCCTGCCCACTACCAGGAGCGGAGAAAGCGGTTACAGGAGCGGAAAGGGGCGGGCTGCCGTCCCGATGCAGGCCACGCACGCGCCGCCTGGCCGTCGGCTACAACCCCCCAGGAGGAGCCACTCTTACGCCGCCGGCGAGCTGGTCTACACTCCGCGCTACCGTCCACTGTCCCAGCAGGTACTAGCTTCTTGCTTAACTTGACTTCCTTGACTTTAATATGTCGGGTGCCAGTCCTCCTCTGCCACCCAAACCACCATGGCAGCCAGGTAGCTGCTGTCCTGCATAGCCTTCCCCATGCCCTCAGCCCTCAGACCGGTGTCCCTTTGCAACACACCTGAGTAGGTGAGGGGCGGTCTTCCAGGCTTCCTTCTCCCATGTGCCATGGTGCTAGACTGGAGACTTGCTGTTTCTCAGAGTGTCCGGCAAACCGTAAACGTCTGGCTCGTATCTTTGCCGACAGCTTTGGGAGCTCTTTGTATATGTATACAACGTTGTTCCCACTTAAGTTTACATTGTGACATCATTGTGTAGGAGCCATACAGCTGTTTCTCCAGCTTGGGGAGTAACCGTCCACGTTTCACAGCCGTACAAGAGCTTCTTCCTACCCCGTTCATTTTAGGCCGTTTGCCAGAAGAGACTGAGACATTAAACTCCCATGTCTGGGCGAGAGGTTTTACCCTTGCCCGAATTCCGAGCATACCCAAGCACGATGCGGGTTTGGGCCACACCTGTTTATGTTCCCGAGGCTTTGTTCCGTCAAAAAAGAATGAACGCAGTGATACACTCATACTAGATATAGCAACTGTTCTACAGTTGTCGTATTTCTGTGTACAGCATATATCTTCCTTCTGCATTGACGCCCTCACAACGGTAGCTATGTATTAAACAGCTTATTGTACCGTAGGTGGTTCTTCTAGTTTCCCAAACATTGCTGGGCTGATGTCATACTTGTTGTGTGTAGGACATCACGCATGACGATATGTAGATAACACGATGATGAGCCAGGCTTAAAGGTAAATCCAGGTAAGCCTTACCTGGGATGGCCGGCATTGTACTACCGACTTCTAGCATGCTGCTACTCAAGATCTTGTAGCATGTTGTCGCAAAAGTATACGTCAACCATGATCAAACTACAGGATATGAAGTTCAAAACCATGCTAAATTGCTGGCGAGTCTGACCTTGTTTGAACCAGGAAAAAAGCTGCTGTATAAAATGTGTTGACGTGGTTTTAGTACTATAGGTCAGAAGACTTTGACTTTACAATGTGCTTGGATCCACAAGTAGGTTTCGATCGGGAGTTATCTTTTCGTGTGACCTTTTCTACGTCTTCCTAATACTGAGTGGCCGCGACTTCCATCCATCTACGAGGAAAGTGAAAGAAATCCCGGCCACAAGTAGGAGAATATTGAATAATATAGAATCGTAGAAAAGACTTGGGCTCTTGTCGTCTTCGGCAAGGTGGTAGTACGAGAGAAGACAACAGAGTAACCATGACCGAAATCTCTGTTTCGTCAGCTGTTAAATGTGAATGTGCTCATCTTTCTCCTACCCCACTAGGTGCCTGGTCCACTCTACAGTAGCTATGATGACTACGTGTATCCAGGACAAACGCAGACCACCTCTGCTACCCTTCCCCTGGCGTATGTGTACCAAGGAGGAACAACAGTTCTACCGGAGAACGTTTGGCCTCAGCAGGATCCAAGAAGAGAAAAGAGTTCCCACAAGCTGTCACGCGCGCCACAGAGGAGTAACAGTGCCAGGGTTGTTCCGGTTACCGCCTCGCAGGAGTTTCCTATGCGGGGTGAGATCACGTCTGCCCCCGAGAACACTGACGCGCCCGAGGCCTGGAACTTGATGCATTTCGCCACGGAAGCGTCCAAGAGAAGAGGGGTGCCCGACGACTTTCCCATCTACAGTATCGAGTCGTCATTCCCCGTGGACGTGGAAGTAGCAGGTAAAAAGAAAGGACTCCTTAAGAGGGCACTTTCGTCCCTGTCCTTCAGGAATAAAATTTCCATCTAGGATTAATCCCCAAGCAGATCTTTGGGTGGCTGCAATACAGTATCATATTTAGCCTCTACCAGGCTTTGGGAGGCGGCTGGAAGTCGCCCAAATAGAGAGATAGCATGCCAGGAGTTGGTCTGCTGGAGAGAACAGTTTGCCGCTCTCCGCTGCCTCCCGAAGCCTGGTAGAGGCTATCATATTGGCAAGACAATACCAAATTGGCCAGGCAGTATCCAATATGTGGGGTGGCCAATGGTTACAGGCAGCCAACATAGACTCCCCTTGCCCAAGATAATCTGCTTGGAGATTACATGTATGTAGAATCATGTGGGTCCAAATGTTGTCAAAATGGGTTTAGACTTTCCATGGTTATGTATTTTGCCAGTGTAACAGTGTTATGTTTGCATTGATAGAATCAACAAATACTGTGCCTGCATACGGTCAGTAGGAAAACCATTCAACAGTGTTAATAAGCAGAATAGTACTGTGCAAATGTAGCAAATACATGTAAGCCAGAACTTGTCCCCTCAAACACGACCAAAGTATTAAAGTAAGGGTAGAGGCGGCAACAGGCATAGCCACCAAAGATTTGACACATCACTCAAGAACTTCCATAGAAAGAAAAGATTTTACATTTTCTGTGTTTTTGTTGTCTTTTGAAGTATATTTTGTACATCGTGCATCAGTCGAATTATAAATTAAGGGTAACAAACATCCAATTTTGTTTGCTCAGTGACTTGACGTCTAGAGGAAAAGTGGGCCTAAATTCAAGGAGGCTTTAGTACACTAAAACCTCCTAGCTAAATGTTATGATAGTTCAACATAAGCAACTAGGACTGTTGGAGTAATCATACCTCCTGTAAAATATTGTTCAGACATGTCCAAGTATACTACTTCTATCTGGTACATGTAAATAAAAACAATGTCTTTGTTACAAACTGCGTTCTCCCAGCGAGGGTTTATTCACTAGTTTTGTATAAGAAACTGTGTCACCATCAACTCAAGCAGCAAATCCAAATGTGACTCTTCATAAACAAATCACTAAATACAGTAATGTAGTAAGTAAATCATATGCATTTACATCCATGTCTCGCCTGCCAAGCTCCTTGCCACTAAAAAATACATGCTTCACACAATGTACAGCATCGCTTTGCAGTATTCAAAGCTCTTAATCAACATAAATGGAAGACAATGCTTACCACTGTCATCGCCCTTTCTCAACTTATTTCCTTTTGCTTGCGTGGTCGTAACTTCACCACTTATCAAGCCGTTTAAAATGTAGTTTTTACTTCCAGTTGTAGATTATATGATATACAACAATTGCATGATTACAGATTCATAATCTGAGATGATGCTAACTTCTTCCTCATTGCCATGGTAACAAAATCATATTTAGAAACCGATACATCATTTTATAAGGGAATGCTGACTACAACAGGTTTGGTAGCAATAATATGTATTATTGTATCTCCTATTGAAAGGTGAAACTAAAAGTCTAGGTCAAAACATTCCCCTTACTTGACATATGTTCTCCAAAAAGAGTTATCGGTAAAAATAATCTTGATCAAGCTATTCTGCCTGCTTTAGTTACATATCGTTCTCACGTGGCCACACTACTTTAATTGTGTAGTTCTTGAATAATGTTGCTTGACATTGTTACATTGGGTATGAAATTTAAGTTTGTTACAAATACTGGCAGGGTACAGTTGTACAGACCAACCAAACCCTCTACAAAATAAAAACAAAAATGAAAACCTTTTTTTTCAGACATGCAGAAACTGTTTCTCATTGGTTGAACCACTAATTGCCATGATGTCATTGGCTAAACTGCTAAGTGTGATGGACAGACGGGATTGGTCAATTGACAAAAGGGCTTTTTCAAAATCTCAAATTCCAGTGTACATGATTGGATACCAGTTCTACAAGAATCACCCATTTAAACTAGTGTGGCCAATGGTGACCTACATAACAACTAGAAGGCAGATATCACAGCAACCGTACATATTACAGTCACTAGGGGTTTGGTACCAGCCCCTACAAGTGTGCTATGCCTAATTTGATTAACTCTAGTAATAAACTGAAAAAAAAAGAATCTTAAATAAAGAAGAAAATATTTATGCTCTGTACATATCTACAAATTCCTTCCTCAACAAAAATATTCATTTTTGCATCCTCGTTACACAAACTTGCACCGACGACAAATGACGTTATCAGGGGCTGTTCGTGAAGACTTAAACTAGCATCAAAATATATGCAGAGATTCAGAAACTATATGGTAATATCTGTGCTCAACTTGTTACAAATTGCTCCAGCCATAATTAGAAAAATAACTCCCAAGTTGGATTGACTAAGAGCTGGGCTTCTACCTTTGGTAGCTCCCACTTAAAATGGCACTATGTACATTATACATCGCTGTCTAGTACTGTAACACTTGCAGAGTCATCATACACTGATCCCTCAGTTTCTGGTGGTTTCATGAGTAACACTATTAAATGTTTTGCACATTTGATACTGTTTTGCACAGTATGGTGTGGTTGTGTGCATTTGCAACAGGCATCACCACTTTTCATGTCACACAGAATGGCACAGACGGAACTAAAAATAATATTCGACACACACATCACTAGCAGAGGACCTTACACTCTACTTACAATGCCAAGGGCACCCCTTGACATGGTATAAACTGATTAATTTTGTTTCACCATTAACATTTTTTTTTGCAAAATTTTAAGCTTTTTTTTCCAAAAATCTTTAGAGCTTTATAAAAAAAATTATAGATTGAAATAAAGATGATAATATACATGCAAATGGACAGGTAGGAACCAAGGGATTGAATGTTAAAACATGACTGTCAAATTCTGGACATCAAGAAAAATGCCTGTCTGTGACAGACCTTTTACGCTGCTAACATTGGTTAATCTATGACAGACGGCCGCAATCATTTCAAATATACAACATAGGGGCATGGGAATCTCTTTATAACAGCTTTAAAAAAGCTTTAAGCAAACAAGATACATGTAGTCCCAATGCTTGGGCCTATATCAATGCCCAAATGAACACAACAACTTTTAAGGGCTCGAAATGGTGGGACTTTGCTTTAGTAGTTGTCATTCTTTCAGAGTGAGGGACACTAGCATCAACTTTTGATGCAACAGTATTTCATGTCCATGATTCTTCAAGCTCTTGGTTGTTGTTTGAGACCCATACTCATATGTAACATCAATATACAGGTCATTTCAATACAGTTTACAAACACATGCCTATTTCCCATGTTCCCTGTCAATAATGTCTGGACTAGAACAGATGATATGATCATCATGACAATAGAAAACGAACATGTATATAAACTTATATATCCTCATATAAAATGTATCATTCTGTTACGTTATGACAAGACTACAATACTACAGTATATTCTGTCATGGACACAGTTCTATTTTACCTACCTACACTTCCTCGCAGTGGGCACAAATACATTAGCTACTACACGATATTGAATGGAAAAATTTGCTGTTTCATTTTCTGCAAAAGATGGCAGTTTTCTTCAGACTTGCTAAAACTGACATTAGTGAAGTCTGGGAAGACGTACTCTACTGTAACTAAAGCTCTGGTGATTTTCACTACTGCTCAAAATTGCGATGTAATAATCAACCATGTCCCAAGCAGGCTCTCACTCACTTTGCATAAGCTATATAACAGAAGCTATATCACTGTCTTTGTTTCATGGATTTATGACAAAAGCTAGATTTGAACAGCCTAACATCTGTGTCCATAATATCACCAGGGTCCATAATATCGCCACCTTAAGAAATAGTGTGCTTAAAGATATTTTTACTGCAACATACTTTTGGTATGCAATCCTTCACACATCAAATGTACATACCTAGGGTATGTTGCAGTAAAAATATCTTTAAGCACACTATTTCTCAAGGTGGTGATATTATGGACACAGATGTTACTTCCTGTCATGGGCAAGTGGAACATCATAGTCTAACCTGCTCCCAACAATCTCAGTTACTAAAGCTAGCTATAATTGTTGTTAAACTAAGTCAATACCGTAATAATATACATGTTTTGGCCTCTGTGCACACAAACAAACACACACATATGTAAACCCACTTGCTGTACATCCAACTGCTTTGCACAAAGGGTTTCTGACTGAGCACTTCACCCACAATACATCTCTTGTTATGTACATGATATCAACAAAATAGTTAATGATATAAAGTTCTGGGTAAATTGCAATTTGCTCACAAAGCAAGGTCTACGGTACCTACACTCACTAGCACCTCTTACAAATTTAGACCAAGGCAGCACAATACATGGGAAGCTATCTATATCAACTTGGCAACTCTAGAAATTGGCAAATACACAGAAACAAACTGTGCAAAGGAAGCAACAAATATCAATGGTTTACAGGCTTTTTGTTACACAAAGAAAAACAAACAAATAATTGTTAACATTGACTGTACAAAAACATACAAGGCATTTGCTTTAAATTCTGGTCTATCTGAACAGACACTGACACCGACACCACACCATGTACAGACATTACAGCTCCAGCTATACTGTTTACACCTCACCGACAGACTTAAAACAGTAAACATATCATCCTTCTGTGTTCAACATTAGAACACCCTCAGTCAATACCAACTATTTCTTCTGCACTTCTTTATACTTTCTCAGATTTCAAACAAACACAACATCACAGACAAGGTACGAAATACTGGTACATGAACTGTGGCTTGCTACAGACAAAATGGTCAGGGAAGATTGTGTATTAATTGGCTTATCTTAGAAGAAGCACTGGTTGGTTGACCATCTTCATCTAGTTCTGTTAAGGTCACATTTCCAAACCGGGACCCAACCAGGCTGTTTTTGTGAACGAAAATCAAACAATGCATGTCAAGAATATACACAAATAATACTTATCAATATCAGTTTTTTTTTCAAATTATTTTGTACTTTGTTTTATATCACAGCTTTGTGTTCCAGCAAATTGCCTGGCTGGGTTCCGGGTTGAGTAATGTGACCAACATGTCGCTACCCTTGCCTGTAGAGATTCTAGTGCACAACAGGAAGACATTATCTTCAGCAGAGTCAATGCTCGGACCTTAGACCAGAGACTCTGTACTCTCATCAGTGCGATCCACTGTGATGATGTCACCGTAACCGTTCTCAGTAACGCCTGCCACTTGGGTCTGCATAGCCTTATACAGGAACAGGTACTGGTCCTGAAAACACAAGTCAGAACATTCATTTTATGTCTATTGGTGCTCCAGCCACTTTCATTTTATGTTCGTTATACATTTTGTATTTGTTACTTCAACCTGTATTTTGTATGTTATATGTTCTTGAGCAAAAGACCTTAATAAGCACATTTGTGCTTGCTATTCCAATGCTCATAAATCCATGTGAATAAAATAAAATAACACAAGAACACCTTAACCATTAGCAAACTGAAAAAGCAGTTGGGCAACTAATTTTGTTAATGGTTTGGAAGTTTGGCAGCAGTGAAAACTTTAAGGTCCTGCATAAAGCAAGTCATTTTCAGGCCTGTGACTTAAGTGTAGAACAACATCACTTGAAAACAGGTAAAACACATTGTTACATAATGTTAAAATGACTGTATTTCTGATCTTGTCTGAAAATACAATGACATGGGTATGGTACATGTATATGGAAGACTTGGGACTTAACGTATGTGGAATATCATATTTATTTATGACAAAGGGGTTTTCGCAGTACCTTCTCAGAGAAGACACCTGGCCTCATCATGTGGTAAGTCTTGGCCAGTTGGAAGATGTCCATACTCCCATCATCCTGTAGCTGGTGCTTGAGAGCCGTCAGCCCACAGAAGGTGGCCGCAGACACGCCACCGTACCTGAAGGGTGGAATCAAATTCACATTCAGAACTTGTGGTAACTTTCAGTAGTTGAATGTTTCAAAATGTTTACAATACTTCCATACCCAGATGTAGATACATGTAGTAAATAGATGGCACGTAATCGTCCTGCCATCATGGAAAAACAAAAATTATCACATCTGTGGATTCATATTGGGGTAACGAGGCTAATCTTTTCAAATTCATTCAATGGTTATCCAGGTCACGACGCTTTCACAGATCAAAATCTTTCGGCTGCTCTTCACACCTACATGTACATTTCTTTTTTTTTTTTCATCATATAACTGTTTCTTATTTCAAGTCCTTTCACCTATCCCACAAGTTACATGTACTGTAAATATGAAATATAATTATTCTTGAATGACCTCCCAACCATGTCACGAGAAATTGTTATGTGTCAAATGTTATCTATTTTAGTGTATAGGTACATGATTGTATAATTACATGTATGTCTCAACTTATGTAATATGTCTATGTCTGTATGTATGTGCGGCCCGATATCAGCTATGGCTGCCAGGGCACCCCATTGTATTGTGATGTTTGCAATTCTAATAAATAAATAAATAAATAAATACTCACACGTCGTGAACAGTGATGGGTCCCTCGTTGGTGGCAGCATGCTCCTGCACCAGGTCCACCAGACAGAACACATCGCTGATCGCCGTGCACGCCGCCGGCCAATCAGGAGACTGGAAGTGCCGTACCTCCAGCACATAATCGTCCTGCCATCGGGGGAAAACAAAAATCAGTTTTAAAATAATTTCATCAGGTTGGTAGAGTATACTGCAGGGCTCTCCCCAAGCAATGAAGCAAGGGTGAAAACCCCAATATCCAAAAATCATCATGTCTGTGGATTCATATTGGGTCAGGAGGTTAATCCTTTTGTTTGATTTAATTTGATCTGACAGAATGCACAGAAAGCAGGCAACATCCAAAGAATCCAGTTATGCCTCTTTGACAGAAAAAGCAGCTCTATTAAAACCTCTCCCCTGACAACCAATCCAGATTTCCTGCATCAATAAGATTATAGAAGGGGAATGACAATCTAAATCTCGTTTACCTGTTCATACACCCATCATGTAAAAATCACACACTCATATATAGGGTTGAATCAATGAGCAAATTTGAGACAGACTGTTACAGTACTTTTTACGGATTACATTCTGAATTTCAGCTTCAACATGACCTGTGCTTCATCTCATAATATTGGACATGAAGCTTGCAAGTAACAAGTACTAGTATCTTCTGAATATACCTTTATGTTAGTTGGCTCCCCGAATATACCTTTATGTTAGTTGGCTCCCCAAAGTGCAATTTGTACAAAGTTAAAATACTGCAGCAGAGAGCTTCAGCCTAAAATTACTGTATTATGCTCTACATGTCCCAGTTAGTAGACATTTAACATTAACCATTAGCAGCCTCTAGGTGCTGCATTGCACCAGCATTGTACAACAAAAGTTAATGACGCTAGGGTTAAGGGTTTCAGGTTAGATGAACAAGAGAAATGAGTTAATGGGTAAAACAGGGCAAGTATGATATAAAGTGGAACCTGTTTTAAACAGAACAGTTGACAGAACAGGAGATGTGCATAATGAGCTTCTTATTTCCATAAGTGATGCTGACATTTTGTGACACCTTGTGGAAGACGATGTCATAATTAAAGATGCCATGAGAAGGATCCTTAGTTCCCAGCATTGTAGGTTATAAAACAGGATCAGTCAGTCAACTTGAATGACTCGAAGCCTACCGATGTTTCGGACCCTGCCCTTGCTTTTTGCGCGGGCGGGTTTTCGCCGTCGTGTTCGGGACGCGCAGCCCTGGTGCTACGTCTGGACCTGAAGCTGGTCCGAATCCTCGCACTTTGTCGTGATCGGAAGCTTTCCCGTCTGCGGCGCTTTTGAGAGCCCAATTTCTGCAGTTGGGTGGTTAATATTTACGTTGTTTAAGAGCCCGTTATCTGTACTTCACTCTTTTCTCACTTTCAATCATTAATAATTGATTAAGGACATTTAATTGTGCTGGATATATGAGATTTGAAATCATGCAAATTATGAAAAAGAAAAATTGATTTCTTCAACATGAAAGTTCAAAGATGTGATATAATTATACCAAGAATTGGGCAAACAGTATGTCATGATATAGACTGTCAGATAATTTTGGACTTCTGGTCAAGTGTGTCTGATAGCAATTTGAAACTAGCAAAAGGTTTTGGTCAGTTGATTTGCTAACATTTCAAATGATACTGATAGATCAAGGGATAGCAGTACTTTTGTCTGACATACATGTAAGGGAGGGAAATAAAATCAAAGCAAGATTAGATGTCATCCATAAAATGATGGCTACATAGAAGTCAACCTACCAGTAACTACTTCATAGCCCACTACAGAAGTTCCTATAATTAGACTTGTTAATGGGTCTACTGGGAAGGGAAACGTGATAATGATTTCTCAGGAATGACTTGTGGATTGGGATTGATTAAGAAAAGTTCGCTTCAAACAAAGTCAAGCACTATTACGCCACACCAATTTACTTCCTTAGTTCTCGGACATTTTAAGTTGAAACTATAGACTAGTAGATTGACATCATAAAAGCAGTGAGGAAAATTCAATTTGACTGTATTCACTCCATAAAACAGAGCATAAACCTGGTCCTGAGGCTCTATTTTCATCAGTTTTTTTCCAGTTCAGCATATTTTTTAAAAATCCGAGAATCAACAAATGAAATTGGTGTGGCCTTACAGATACATGTACAAGAAGCCGTGTGTCAGCAGCCACTTCTGTGTTTTTTTTTACCTGCGTGGCCTCCAGGAGGAAGCTAAAACGTAGGGAACCAAGGTTTAAACCTGGTTCTAAAGCACTGTTTTTGTCAGGTTTTTCCAGTTAAGCGTACCTGCGTGGCCTCAAGAAGGAAGCTGCGGACGGTCACGCTGATGTCGTTACCGACTTTCTCCTCCTTCTCGTCCTGCAAGGACACCTTGAAGGTCACGCACTCCATGGGTTTGTCCTTGCTGGGCCAGTAGCTGGGCAGGTTGTCATTCTGTGGGGGAGGGGGGCAAGATGAAACCGTCACTTCAGTCTGTCTTTTATCACATTAGCAGAAGTTAAGATCTGCATCTACATGCTTAATACATGTAGTTCTTTCAGCATACAAAAATATAAGTTAATGTACACTTCAATATAAGTCTCAAGCACACTATCTTTGACTTTCCCATTCCATTCCTATGACATTATGTTTCTCTATTTACATAACTGTCGTAGCAGTAAATTGTAGATATAGCACATTCTGAGCTACTCAAAACTCTTAACTTACACCTTCTACAATCTAACTTTTTATTGGTATGCACATGTCCTATAGCATGCTCTTAACACTTACGGCATACTTCAGCATAGTACAAAGTATAATCAGCAACAGCAGTAGCATAGTACAAATAACCACAGAGCAACAGCGATATAAGGCAAGCAGTCTATATGCCTTGCAGGGGTTCACAAAAAAAGACTAGGTCATTTTTTCCCCTAGGCCTTAGCAACAGCAGTAACATTATGATAGTAAAAAGCAACAGCAATACAAGACAGGCAGACAGTAAGGCAAGAATAGAACTTCAGCATAGCACAACAGCAGTACACCAGACGGCAGGCAGAAGAGGAGAGAAGCTGGCTCTACCACGACACAAGTTTGAGGGCCGTTCTTGACCTCGTCAGGCTTGCTGAGCATGACCACCGCCGGCGAGTTCTGGTCCCAGATCATCTGCCAGAAATCCTTCACTGTGTCAGGCAGGGGGTGCTGGGTCACGATGAACTCCTTACTCCTGTTGTAGCCCTGTCATTGGTTGGTGGAAAATGAAGTTAATACATGTTATAATCATCATCATCATATCATGTCATGCTACTGATGAGTCAAGCTCAATGCATCCTGCTTAGCTCGATACAGGTTGGTATTTCAGATGTCTACCAGCACCTAACCTGCACTGGTCCATATACTGGGTATATATAATATACATATACATACATACATATACAGTACATAGGCGTATGCGGATCTCTATTTGCTGCCTTGACTATACCACCTATGCAGTATAAAGGAAAAGATGGCAACGGTTTCTGGTTTTCTTTGTGATCTATACAATTGTAGTTCCTAAATTCTTAGTGATGCATGTAAAATTTGTCAGGGGCAGGTATGCCCTGCTTATAAAAGAACAAAACCACTGAGAGATTGTGAAAAGTAGCTGAATTAAAGTGATTTTTCAGCAAGACAAGACCTACCTGCAGATACGAGGCATTAATGTAGTCTGATCCCTCCATCCCTGGCTTTGCTGTAAGACACACCCGAGTACACTCCACTGGGGAATTGGAAGAAATAAGAGTTGTTAACTGCTTTATTCATTCATTTAAGTCACTGTTCATGTCACACACATCATGGAGGAAAGGTTTACAGAGTTTACAGAGAACTGGTTGACAGATCATTTGTGGTGCCCCAACAGTTGAACAATTAGGCAAGAGCTAAAGAGAGACTTGATCAGACAATTAAGAAGGGAAGGAAACCTGGTAAGAGATTTTTTTTTTACACAAGCAAGTGTTTTATTCACAGCCGAAGTTTCGTTGACTGTCTGACTGGTTTACATGGCACTGTTACACAGGTGTCGCTGTTATAGATGCATTCTATGCATCTATAGTAGCAACAGGTTGTGTAAAAAGAGCATCTTTACTCAGTGACTTACCAACCTGAAGAAACTATTCACAAACCTGGTATGAGTTTCTGCGTCCTGTTCTTGTTGGTGTTGCAGGGCTTCTGTGCGCAGTAGTACTCGAACTCCTCGGCCTGGTGAGCCATCATGTGTTTGAAGTGCTTGTCCAGCAGGGTCCTGCCCGAGCGGCCAGGCTTCAGCAGCTCGTCCATGTAGTGGTGCAGCTGGCTCTGCGGGATCTCCGTGTCACGGCACTGGATAAACTTCAGCAGGGCGTCGTGGCAGAAGATGTACTGCTCCTGTCAACAGATAGGGGGCGCTTTTATTGACTCACTCACTCGATTATCCAATACATGTACATGACACTCATAGAAACTCATTCTGCGGGATCTCCGTGTCCCGGCACACGACTTCAGCAGGGCGTCGTGGCAGAAGATGTACTGCTCCTGTTGACAGATAGGGGGCGCTTTTATTGACTTTCGCTCATTTGATTACCCAATACATAACACTCATAGAAACTCATTCTGGGGGATCTCCGTGTCCCGACACTGGATAAACTTCAGCAGGGCGTCGTGGCAGATGTACTGCTCCTGTTGACAGATAGGGGGCGCTTTTATTGACTGTCGCTCATCTGATTACCCAATACATAACACTCATAGAAACTCATTCTGCGGGATCTCCGTGTCCCGACACTGAATGAACTTCAGCAGGGCATCGTGGCAGAAGATGTACTGCTCCTGTTGACAGATAAGGGGCGCTGTTAAGAACTGCTGCCCACTTGATGACCCAATACATGTACAGTAACTGTACTGTATCCCTAAGCAGTCTATATGTTGTATCCCTAAGCTGTCTTTACATTGACTCAGCAGGACTTTTAAAAATTTGCTTTTTCTAGCTCTAGTTTTCAAGGTACATAAATACACATCTTATATCTTGAAAAATATGTGATGTTCACTCACTAAATGTAAAGCTACCTTCGTGTTTTGAAAATGTCTTTCTTCTAATAGCTATTTTGGATGTGAACACTTTTCCTATTGTCTGAAAATTACAAGTTCATTGTACTATTTCAAACGATAATGACATAGATAATTTGGCAGATGTAAAAAAATATAAACATATACATATACATGTGCATGTACATGTATTTGATATTGCAATTATGACACAGAATGGTACTTAAATCAAAAAGCAGACAAACCTCAGTCTGTACGAGGTAGTTCCTCTGTGTGCGGATGTGCTTGAGGAAACCTTTGATGTTGACTGAATGTTTCTCCTCCACCTGCCTCATCATGGTGTCCAGGACAATGTAAGTCCCTGTCCTCCCCACTCCAGCACTACAGGAGAACAATACATTCATTTTGTTTGTCTTTCAGTCTGTTAAGTTGTATGTGTCTCTGCATTATGTACTTTCACTATGCTAGTCATGTTGACTGACATCAAGTAAATGTCAGAGTGGGCAGAATCAGTAATTGTGGTAGCAAAGGATTTCAGGTTATAGGCTCTATGAATAATTCTACTACAATATGTACTTCACATGGAGGTATTGTTTGAGGTCTGTTCATTAGTGTTATCACATATACTTTCATGCTTTTATCATGATAATACATGTAAATGCTGATTTTGAAAACATCTATGCCACAGGGTTTACCTATAGATTACATGTATAAAGTATATTGTATTACAAAAATGCACTTCTATCTTTCCCCAAGCTCATTATTCTGTCTATCCTATGACATGCTGAGCAGCTGTCCCTGCCCAACCTCCCCCCCCCACTCTAACAACAGTTTTCTTGTAGATTATATAGTACAACACAAATGCACTGTCTTTTCCCAAGCTCCCTAGCCATTCTATCCTATGACATCCTGAGTAACAAACTGTACCTGCAGTGCACCACCATGGGTCCCACCTCCTCCCCCACTCTGACAGCAGCAGACTTCCTGATGAAGGTGAGGACGGGGAGGGCGTAGTCAGGGGTGCCGTGGTCAGGCCACTGGGTGTAGTGGTACTGCAGCACAGTACGTTCTGCCTTGCCCTGGGGAAAACAAGTAAAGGTTTAACTTATCAAGTGTAAAACAGACAGACATAGAGACTCACCTACATGTATTCCCTCTGTCTACAATGTAGGTTACTAAATGACAGCATACACGTGTATGTGATGCGTTTATTCATGCATAAAGTTACAGAAAGTTATTAGTTCTCAGTATGTTCCACAATTCTTTTATTGTCTATCTCGTTTATCTTATTGTCATAATGTATGTATAATCAGTGCTTAAGCTAAGTGATAGACTAACTAATGTATGTATAAGGTACATTGACCTTATGTGGTGTCCATTCACTTAGTGTGTCACTAACTCAGTCAAGGGTTTAACTTATGACATAAAGGTGTAACAAGGGAAACATGCAATTGGTTGACATGGACTGGAAGTACTGTAAATCTCATAGCTTTTCTGGTGGTTTCATTTTTGTCACATCAATAAAGTCCAGACAGCAAACACTGTACTTCCAAACTCAGCTACTGTGTTCTAAGAAACATGACTGGTACAAACCTTCTTGACTTTTGCATGGCGTAAGGAGAATGTCCTGATGGTGAAGTTGGCCAGCACCTTGGTGTGCTTCAGGGTGACGGTGACCAGGCCGTACTGCTCTGTCCCATCTGTGGGCCAGTACTGGTCACACTTACGCTGGAAACAGAAAGGTTCAGATCCAAATTACATAAGAATTACGCAGCAGAATTATTTTCAAACTGAACCTAAAATGCTGCAAAAACCTCCTCTCCATCAAACTAAGCCCTGCAAAAACTAAACGAATCTACCATACAAGCTAGTCCTCTGGGAACCAACAAAAGAAATGAGAAGTCCAAACAAGAGAAACCGAGCGAGACGTAGGATTACTTTTGTTGACAACCTCATATCAGATACCAACCTGGCCAAAGTAAAGGAAATCCAGTCTCTGATGATGGAGGACAGAGTGAAGTTGAGAACACTGTCATGTTTGATTCAAGCAGAAGCTTTACCAAAGTAAAGTAAATACGTGACTGTTTATGGGGAATATGGAACTCACCCTGCCTCTCTCCACCAGGTTGGTGAGCATGATGATGACAGATGTGTTCTGTTCCCACACCATCCTCCAGAAGTCTCCAAACGTCGCCTTCAGGGGACCTGAAACATGCAACATACAAAAAACATGCTTCACAGTTTAACTATATATACATGGTGAGCTACCTGGAACACATATACTGGTTGTGCATAAGAAAATCATCCTATGCTCTACCACCTGATTTATTTTCGGGATACATGTACATCTAAAACCCACGGTGTTCACTATGCACACCCACATGATTTCTAAAATAATTTCTTTTGAAATCCATCAAATTAGCCACCTCGCATCTGATATATACATGTACATGTACGTACACACTGTCAGAAGCTCATTCTAACAATGCAAGGTTATGGTACAATAATTGAAAGTCACCCACCTTGTGCAGCTATGAACTTCCTTGCCTTCTCATAGCCCTGCATTGAAAGCAAAAAATTGTAAACTCAGACTATAAACATTGTAAACATGTGGACATAACATTCAATGTCTGACTCAGTAAGACAAATGTTCCAAGAGGAACATTTTGATAAGTAACATGTGTCTATCACCTCTCCTATTATGTCCTACTATGAAGAAAAGAAACCCAGATAAGTCCTACTTACGTCCACAAAGTTTGCATTGATGTAGTCGGAGTGTTTCTGTCTGCCCAGTACCGGCTTCAGCTGCACACGGCTGTGGTCATCTGTACAGTATACAATATTAATGTCTCAGTCATTGGCATAACACCACCAGTCCACAATACACTATAGGTTTTAGTGCATCTTTCATCTAGTAATCTTCTTGGTGTCATATTAAAGACCGAGTTAGAAGGTCACTTCCTGAAACTGTGTACATGTGTAATACATGGATTGAAACACATGTACAAGAAAGTTGCCTTTTTCCATCTACTAGGTTGACTTACATGCCACGATGTTGATGTATCTGTTCTTGTGCTTGTTGTCTGGGTGCATGGTGTGTTCCCACTTCAGGTCCTGTCTGTTGGCCGTGCTCTGGTGAATCTCTTCATACTCCAGGGCAAAGCCGTGGTCGCTGTCCGCATGGAGAGACGACACGTGCTTCGCGAACTGACCCACTGCGATGGACTGGGCATTCTCTCCATCTGTTACGGACAAACAAGACATAACAAGTCACCAAACTTTGCTGCCCAACATTAAGGCAGTGGGGAGGGAGAGAGTTTTTTTAAGGCAGTGGGGAGGGAGTTTTTTAAGACAGTGGGGAGGGAGAGAGTTTTTTTAAGGCAGTAGGGAGGGAGTTTTTTAAGACAGTGGGGGGGTGGAGTTTTTTTTTAAGATACCCTTTAGCCCCTTTAGGAGGCTAATCTTTTAGGGCTCATCATTAACACAACTAAACACACAGACTTACATAGAAGCACAGACTTCAAGAATTAAGTATTGAGAATAAAGGTCAGATCAGGGAACTAATTATGACTAAAATAATTAAATCAACAAATAGAAGGCATAAAACTTGCGAGTTACTAAAATTGCTAAACTATAGGGACTAGGGACTACTGACCCAGCATGACCGGCAGTGGAATGTGCTGTATCTTCACCACCCTGGGAGATCCATCATCATCGATGTAGTAACATGCTGTCTGGTGAAACTTCCTGCTAAAACAAAATCAACTCTCAGTTGGAAGGTTGTTTTTCTTATGTTGGCTTTTGTAAAGATGGATAGAAAAGGACATACACCAGACAAAAGTAGGACAGTCTGAGTCAATCCTGTATCACTGACTGAGGTAAACACAAACAAAACTTTGCCATTTTGTAAATGATTATCATATCCGCAGAATATGTTTCAAGTCCTATATAGGATATTGCATTCTCTTCACTTGGTTTGTATAGATGTAGGTCCAAAGATGTAATTTTTGGCCTGTTAGAAAGTTGCTGAAAGTTTTACAGTTTTTTTAAGAATGGTAACATTGGTGTACGTGTATTTGTCCAACAGGAAACTTCAGTAATGCATGTTTGACTCCATCTGAACAGTCTGACTCTTCAACAAAGTGACATGCGATGGCGTTGTCCAACAGACGACATAAGTATACAAGAGTACATGTAACTGGATAACATGTTCATTCCACTGATGTAAATCTTAAGGTGATGCAGTGCAGCATGCATCCAGATGCAAGCAGCTCTGTAGAACGTATGGTTGGTGAGAAACACAGTGGTTACTGGGAGCGCATCATGTCCATGCACAACTCATGCAGAAGACAGTTATTTATTCTCAACCAGGATACATTCTTCTAGCATGTGCAAAACAGTGCAAAATCACAAACAAATAAAACTGCTGGAATTTTCAACGAACTGGTGACAATTGTCATGGGTAGATATATGTGAATACTATACACAGTCATGTACATGTAGGTCATGTTACTAATATGATATCATGAAAATAGCAAGAACTAGGGTTAGCTTATACAATGTAGTCTCATTCAAAGGAAAAAACAACTACTTTGTGAACAAATGGATCACATATCAAACCGATGAATGTGTTAATTAATTAACAAACGAACGAGGTGACGAGAAAAAGGTGAGTTCAAATGAAAACCAAAGTGAAGGAGATGACAGGCAGGACCTTGATCGTAATCGTCTTGCCACATGACAGCCATGTTGCCTGAGAAGACAACCCAGGTGAGATAGGAAGTCAGTGTACACGGACACAAGATGGCACGCCGGCAGAACATATGGCACCTGTACAAAACCCGTATTGATACGTAGTAGCATGTGTAGTCCAGTGGTTAGCAACACTGCGTCTGGACCAAGAGGTTGGGATTTTGAATCCTGGCTATTGTCGCTCATCCGACATAATAATAATAGTAATAATAATAATACAATGCACGCTACTGGCAAAATTCTTATGCAATGTTGACTGAACATCCAACAAAAACTGGGTTTTGCATAGGTGTAGTACGTTCTGCTGACGTGCTCAACTCCAAGGCTGGCTTCAAGTCTTGTCTTGTATCCTAGAGAAATTTTCTTTTCACATATAAAGTACATCTTTCAACAACTAGAAGAACTCTAATGAATTGTACTCTTTGAAAAAACGTCCAGTACCACACAAGTGGAAGGACTGCCTCCCCTGTCGTGTAATTTTCCCCTTTACAAAATAGTGGAAGTAATTACTAGTTTACATAATGCACTTACAAGTGACAACAATTCATCTTTGACAGGTCCTTAAGCTTAAGCATTCAAAACTGCTTAGCATCATCAGTGAAGTTGAAAATCAAATCACTGATTGGAATTCAGAACTAATGAAAGCAGGATAACAACCAATCAAACCTTCTCTAAAGAGAGCTGGAAACTTTGTTGTGGAAATCATTGAATAGTTTCAATAGGTTGGTAAGTCACTGAATAAAAAGCCTCTCCTTACACAACCAAGAAGTTTATTCACATGAACCAGTCAAATTTGCCCTGAGGAAGGTGACAGACGGTCACCAAAACGTCGGCTGAATAACTTGTCAGCTGAACACTTGGTTGTGTAAAAGGAGTCTTTATTCATTGGTGTAGAAAGTCAGATTATACAACAACATCAAAACTAAAACACAATGATATACCAAAATGTCAGAACTTGTGAAGCCATAATTGTTACCTGAAGTAGACAGCGGCCAGGACCAGCAGAATGACCAGGAAGGCTCCCAGTGCGATGGCTATCCCGATGATGGCACCAGTACCACTACTGTTGTCTACCTCCACTGTGGTACGGGCACTGGTTGTTTCCACAGGAGGGGGGGTGCTTCTGGGGGCTACAACAAGAAATGAAATGACATATCAGACTGCATCCAGCTACGAGGATATGGATACTATACAGTACCTTCAAACTGGAAGACTGGCTGATCGTTGAATGAAACTAGGCCTAGGAAAAAATGTTGTGTTTCTTGTTTCCCAACCGACCCAAGAAAAAAAACTGCCGACCCTAGTCTTTTATGAGGACCTCTTTAAGGGACATGGATTTTTCAAGCTGATCAACCTTTTCTACCTCCATGATCTGACATCTGAGTGATGAAACATTGTTACATCATCACAAGTAAATGGTACAATGGTAGTAGATAAACGACTCACTACACTTTTAGTAGACTTAAAGGTAACCATTTCATCAACTTTGTGACTGTAAATAGCCTACTGTTGTATACCCAAAAACTGCTTCAACTACTAGAAAAACACAGGAGACACACATTTATCATTTCATCCACATAGAGCCAAAATCTTTACATGGTTATTTATAGTGGGGAAAGGAGGGTCTATCTAGCTACATGTACATGTATGTCTCACAAGCACTGCAAACCTACCCCTCTAATAAGCACTGCAAACATACATGTACTACTCTGCTAAGAACAGCAAACGCACAAGTCTGTTTCTACTAGGCACTGCAAATGCACAACTTCGTTAAACCTGCCACACCGTGATGAAGTAAGGTTCAACAACTCTAGCATCTAATGAACTACAGACTAGCACTAGTTAGTTAGTTTGCACACATTAGTGATTATGAGGGCAGCACAGCTACGAGGGAAGGAGAGAGTGGGGGACTGAGTGACAGACGAGTAGGTAGACCCACCGGAAACCGCAAGGAAGATCTTTTCAGATTCAGAGGTGTTGACATAGCTCCGCTGGTGGATTATACTGCGCACTTTAGCCGTGACATTCAATTTGTACGGACTCGTGGGCTTCAAGTCCTCCAGCAGGGACCACTGGACAGGGCCGTCGCGAACGGGGGCTTCACGTCTTTGCGGCAGTTGGCAAAATATGTACATAAAGGAGCATTGGCTGTAGAGTATGGAGAAGGAATCCACCCTGCGTAGGGCCATCCCCGGCTGGGTCCAGCTCACATTGATGCTGGTAGCAGAGACCTGCTGGAGTCTGAGCTGTTCTGGTTTGAGGGGAGCTGTGAGGAGTGGGGAGGGGGGAGACACAGCCGAGGAGACAGAGCCAAAGTTATCATGCAGACAGAGCAGCAACGTACAACAAATAGGACCATCAGGAATCACCAATAGACACAAAAGGAAATACATGTTGGTAGGTATTACTTGGACGGTGCCAAATATCTTCGTAAGTGGCAAATCATACATATAAAAGAATTCATATAAAAAGCTCAGTGGCAATTCATAAAGAAAGCAAACATTTTATACAGGATAACAATATCATATTGCTAATTTTTTATGTGCAAGTGGTAGTGTTGAAATAAGTCTTAGATACTTGAGTGCACTACCACTTTGTGTTGTACTATGTTATACTGTGTAAACAATAAAAAGTTCATGAATTTTTCCTCCCCCGGCCCATTGCACCATGAGCAACCTTAAATTACAGAGCGACTAGGACCAGAATCCTGCAGAGAAAATCTTTAAGCAACGATAGTGATGTACATTGTACTTACGCAGAACATCAGTTTGAACGGTGAAACCAGGTTTTGTTCGGGTACTGTTGGTTCCACTGTTGAAGCTCTCCATGGAAATCGTGTAGGGAGTGCTGGGTTCTGTGGGGAAGGCATAAAACAGGTGTCCATTTCAGTAATACTGAACTCATCGTGACAAGAGAAAATCTTACTACTGGAACAGTCTTTTCCAGCCCACATTGTGAGTCTGTTGGAGACTATAACTATTAATTACTTCTACTTTATTACAGAGATTAGCCTGGCTGCAATCCTCTGTAGTTACTGCTGGCTCCCTACTGTCCCTGGCTATAGTGGGGAGCTGGTGGCAACTGCATGTATGAAGGATAGCACCCAGGCTATACAGAGATAGCACGAAACCTGAAAATCGAACTGTACTCACGTAGGTCTGGTATAACATGAGATCTCACGTCACCCACGGTGATAACAGTTTCGTCAGTACAACTACTAGAAAACAGGCAGTAGTAGATGCGGAAGCCCAGAATCCTGGCTACAGGGGGGTCTGGTACAGACCAGGCAATACCAATGCTGTAGGCTGTGGTTTCCGCTTTGTCCATCTTCAGTGTTGGTACAGGTGCAACTGAAAAATGGGGTTAAGACTCCTGATATAGTAGTAGCCTCAATGTTCTAATATACATGCATATAGGCCATCAGTGGCAAGACATCAAGTAGTTAAAAGGGAACTTTCAATCAATGCACTAAATAAGAAAAAAATTGGTGCCAGGGCTTAGCAGAGACCAATTTCTACATTTCTTTTTAACTTTTTGATAAAGAAAAATAGAAATTCGACATCCTTTTATACTGTATTATACTGTAATAGTCACCACCAGTACAAGAGTACATGTAGCTGAACTGTTCATTGCATTCAGTTGAGCTAAACTGGTACAAGATCACTTTTCTTTATCACATCAATAGACAGTAAACCATCAAACCATTACAAAGTAATAAAAGTTACAACAGTCCTGTCCTACAGACCTCCCTCGGCTGTCTGTGTGAAGTTGACCCTCCAGTCTCCGTAGCTCAGCCTCCCCGACCCAAAGTCATAGTACACCAGCACCTGCACCTTATACATGGTGAGGGGAAGCAGGCCACTGATGGTGGCATTCTGCAATACAACAATTACACATTACACTGTTAAATCACTGCAAGGCCATGCCATACAGCACGTCGGCAGAACGTACTGACCTGCGCGAAACCCGTAATATATTGTACATAGCATTTCGGCAGAATGTCTCATATAAGGTTGTATTCGCTCATATAAGGTTAGCATTTCGACAGTAGTTTCCAACTGTTGTGTCGGAAAGGATATCCTCTGCAACAGGCAATATTCTGATGCAACGTTGACCAAAAACCCAACGAAAAACACGAAAATACGGGGTTCTGCGCAGGCGAAGTACGTTCTGCCAACGTGCTATGCCATACTGGGTTAGCAGTGCCAGCATGGAAACATGCTATGCTGGGAGAATGAATGAAACCTCCGAAAATAGTTTCATCAGGTTGGTTAAGTGTAGGATATAGGAGTTTTCTTCAGTCAGAAGCTCTGAGGAAGGTGTCTGATATAGGCACCGAAACGTAAGCAAGGTGAGACAAATTTGTTTGTGTAAAAGAAAAAAACTCCAATATCCTATGAATGAAATCTGGGCTGTACATTATTTGGTTTACATTTTGGACAAACAGACCTGATTACATGGATGACAGTCATGTTGTTTTTGTGTTGTTGCAATTCGAATAAAGAACAAAAGAACCTGGGAAGGTCAAGGCAGGGAAACTCAAGATTTCCTGTCAAATGGAAGTTGCATGTTCAAGTCTGCAATACGAACCATGACACTTGTTGGAATGGAATCAATACCATAGTGGGCCTTTTCATGTCACCAGAAATAGATATGTGTAGTGCCTTATATGCCAAATTGAGCCTGCTGCAACCTTTTCTTATTCCAGGGATGTTGTCTTATTGAGTGATAGAGATCCTTAATGACATTGCTCAACAACCTCAACAATTAATAAGGGATTCTGTATGGGGGCAACAGTATATCCTAGGTGTACAATGATACATGCATAACAGATATGAAGTGTAAGACCTACAATGAAATGTATCTACATGTATTACCTATGCCAAAGATATCATCTATACACAGGTACATTGTATTTGTCTATGGTTCATGATGGTGTTCTTTGGTTTACGATAAGCTACGGGCTGATTGTGCATCTTTTGTCTGTATGTGGCCTGGAACTTGGCTGGATACAAATGTGAAATGCAGATCCTATAAAGTTACTCCTATCACAAGTAAGGGTTCAAGACTTGGGGGAAATCTATGAGGCATCCATTATGATGCTGCACTCTTTCCTTTCCACTTCTGCTGCCAACTTTCAATTACCAGTTGCTTACAATGCCAATGGTAACTTAGTTATCTACGCACACTGTATGTTTGGGGAGAATAATGGACAGACTAATTTGATAACAGAAGAGTTTTTTTCTTCAATGTCATCCAATTACGGCCTGCTTCCTGTCAGGTACTAGTATTCATTGAAGAATGGCACAAGGTATGGTATCAAAACATTAAAGCTCAATGTTGGTGCCATCTTGTGATATCACATGAACAACTTTTTGTCAATAAAAAGAAGTGTCTTCTGAAATAGGTTTAGGGGATTTGTATAATCAGCATGTTCATAGTAACTTCTCTTTTAAGAAGACTAATTCAGATACCCCTGGAAAAATTGAAACTATGCATGAAAAGAAAATATATAAAATGGCTCAATTAAAAACGTAAAATATTTATGTACATCTATGCATATATCAAGTAACTACATGTGTATGCACTTACATTATAGTACATACAGATACATTCAAAATACCTTCTCCATCACCTGCAAACTTCTAACTTGCATATTACCAGAATTTTACATGTTCATATTCACTTTCCACCTGCAATTTCTGATGTAGACTGGTTGGAGGCGGGTAATTTGTACCTTATAACCTGATCCTGACCGTCCATCACAATTTACAGTTCAACCAATAACAGCATGGCAGTTAGCAGTTTGACCAATGAGGGAGGTTGCAAGTCTCTCAAATTCTTATGTTTTGCATTCCTACCTTTTGATGGAGGTGGGTGGAGCTATGGAATCGGTCTATCATGGTATGGATGAAATATATTTTCGTTTACTAACAGTACCAGTAACAGTATCATTGCCAATGAATAAAAATACACGCACTGATATTCCTCTATTTCTTAAACCATGCACAGTTCTTCAGATCTCAGCTCATAACATACATATACAAGTCTGTGTGATCCCAAAATTTGAATCTGGTAGAAACCAAAATGGTAAAAAAAAATAGACTCTAGTAAAAAGGATGATTTGCTTTATATGTGGTTATCAACAATACAAAGGAAAGTCAAACACATGGACATAAATCATACAAAGAAAGTAAGGAGAAATCAACTCGACGTAAAAACGAAACTCAGACTGTGAAACAGATGAGTAGAGGAACAGACCTCAAGGTCCATACATATGCCAGATGCATTCAGGTCTCTGCTTGCAACTTCCATGCAAGGCGTATTCACCTGACCAGCATCAAAGATGAAAGGAAAACAAAAAAAGAACAGTTGATGTTGGAAAACACAAAGAGGCTGACACATGGCTTTGGAAGTTTTACAGTTAAAAGTACTACTCTACGTCTGCACAATCAGTTACCCCTCAATCATACAAAACTATACAACTTGCAGTTGGACATATATCCTTTACTTCAGTTAACATTCTGTAATTTTTCTGCACATCTGTTTTGACAAACATCAACATTCCAATGATAACAGTAGCTAGGATGCACTTAGTCATAGCAGCAGTGGCAAAACTGTTTTGCAGTAATGTCATGGACAGAGCTGAACACAAAAAGGGTTTATGCCTTCATGCTTCATGCCAGTACATACACAGACATGTATTAGCCACCACCAGCAATATTCAAATTGCTTATTCAGACTTTTAAATCAAAATGATAGCAAGAGGAGGGTGTAATTTATGGTAACTCTAGGCTTGTCAGACAAGTTGAAACTTGTCCTGCTGCATGGGGATTAAAGCTGCACAAGAGTTATGCAAAAAGAAATGCTGCATGGTATGACTGAAAAAAAAAAAGAGTTTCAGAATTCGGATTCATTTCCTTACTTAGTATGCTAACTGCATGCACCTAATATATGTACATTAATATGCTCTTTGCGGAAAGCATATTCATATCTGTTAGTGTGTCACCATTTAATAACAGTACATCAGTAATCCAGTACCAATTGCAAAAGGAAAGACACCAAAGCATAGCAGCCAATACTAGTATATGAGCTTTTTCAGGTTGCATACCAGGCCTCGAAATTAACTTTTTTTTCTATTGTCCCAGAATTGTCCCAAAAATAGATTTCAATTGTCCCGAACTGAGGATGGACTGTCCCAGCCTGATTTTCAGAAAATAAGCGACAAAAATAAACAACAACTGAATTTGTACAACTTGAAGTCCACTTCAAGTAAATAATATTAGTAAATATCCATCATTTTTCCCAGACTGTAGGGAAATACATGTTAGTATCATGGGTGCGCCACCATCTTCAGGCGCCCCTCCCTGACATTTGGAAAATCCTGATTGGTCAAATTCAAATGTTTGTCAGAGTATTATGGGCTGCCCGCAGCCCGCAGCAGGATAGATGGATGGCGTTCCTAAATGACGTGGACGGTCTCAGAATTTTCCAATTGCCCCGAAATTGTCCCGAAACAAAATTTGAATTGTCCCGAGCTGAAAATTTAGTGTCATTTGACACTGGGACAATGTTAATTTCGAGCCCTGCATACGCAAGCAAAGCACAACATATACAGTACTGCCATCAGTTCCATGTAGCTGAATGAAGGAACATGTCCTACCTGGGCACTCCTCCTCAGCTTGATGTTACTCGCCGCCCTGCGTGAACTGTTGGCTTCCCGATAGCTCAGGAAGTAACCCCACTTCAGGTGGTTTGGGAGAGAAATGTTGGGTCCGACCCACGACACAAATATCGCTGTTCCGTTCAGAGCTACTCCGCGTAAGTTGGTCACCTTTTGGTCAGGTTCTAATAGAGTGGAGAAAAAAAAGACTTGGTTGACTAAGCAATCAAAGCAGGGGTAGAAATTTCTAAAAATCTTCCCATTATGAATGTTAAGTAATTTTTGAAATGCACTCCCAAAATGTATCTGTCACACTTCCATGTCAATCTTTTATTGAACAACTGCACTCTAAATCTAAAAGTCTAATAGATGACATGTAGAAACATTTCTGAGTAAAAAATGCCAAACAGTGGAAGAAAACTATGTAAACTAGAGAGAACAACATATCGTCAGAATGTACATTTTTCACAGTTTTTTTTTAATTTTTGGTCAACATGGCATCAGAATTTTGCCTGTTGCAGACAATATTTTTTCCAACATTCTATTTGAAAACTACAGATGGAGTGTTAACGTCACATATGCAAATACATGAGATGTTCTGCTGAAGTGCTAATAATAATGGTTTTTAAAATAAATGGTTTTTTAAGCATAAGTGCTACTATGCACAATACATTATGACGATTGTGTTTCGCACAGGTGCAGTACGTTCTGCAGACGTGCTAGAGAGAACGCAGTTGTCCTTACTGAGGTTTTCTGTAGAGATGGGTCCTGACTGGGGACTGGTGTCAGTGTTGCCCTCAGCGTCCGTGGCTCTGACTTGGAAGAAGTACTGTGTGTCCGGGATCAGGCGACGCACCACAAACACGGTGTCCTGAGTTGTGTACGATCTGGACTTGCTCCAGCTTCCACTGCTGGTGCTGGGGACAGAAGGATTCAGGACTACTCTTAGTTACACGTTGGTACCTTTCAATCATTTTACGAAAAAACTTCAAGGGAAGAAAAGGATAACATTTGGTAGTCGAAGCTGGTGTGTTACGCCAAAGGGTGGTTATACCGATACAGATACATTTTACAGCACGTTCCTCTGTGGCAGGATTTTTAAAGGCATACCGGTATGTTCTGATTGATCATAAAAATAGTACTTTTTTCTTGTAGTACTGGTAAAACTTTTTATCTGTACATTTACATGCAAAATAATTATACAACATAGACAGTTACCACCAAATGAAGGTTGCAAACTTCAGTTTTAGTATACATGTACATGTGTACTTTTCATTACACGTCAACACACACAATTGTACATGTATCAGATAGAAGTAGAAGGTGTTTTCTTGTGGTGCCTTACCTGACATAGACAGTATAGTTAACTTTGCTATCATTGACTTGGCTGGCCGTCCAGTTAAGCTTCACAGTTGTAGCGGTCACCTTAAGTGCCATCGGCCGCCCCGGGGGCTCGATACCCCGTCCCCTCGGAGTGGAGGGGGAGGACCCAGGGACCACACCAACTCCGGGGACCACAGGCTTTGGTGCAGAGGTGGTCCCCGATCTCGAGGGTTTGTCAGTCTGTAGGGTGGAGGCTGGAGATGTGCTGGAGGCTGGGGATGTGACGGAGGAGGAGGAGGTGGACACTTTTGTAGACACCGACGCTCCAGCCGAGGTACTACTGGGGGTAGACGTGCTTGTAGACGTGCTGGTTGCTACTGGAGCGCCTGTCACTGTTAGAGGAAAGAGTAGGGTTATTACAATGTACAAGGAGTAACAGATTGGACATAAAACAAAATTTTATAATTTTCACATTGGTATGTGTGTACACATGGTTACATTTTCTTTCCAAATCTAATACCCTTGCAGAGCATCTAATAACCTAACTATTGGAGCGCCTGTCACTGTTACAGGATAGAGTAGGGTTATCACAAGGGGTTATACATCAGATACAAAGCGAAATCAGATCTAAAGCACAGGGTACTAGTATGTCTACATGTGAGAAACAAAAGTCTTGAGTCGATTTTATCCTTCCCCAGATAAAGCAGCTGTATATTCAGATTATTTTTCTGGATATTGTAATGTTCTAATGTCCACAATCACAATATTCTTCCCATACTGCCATAGTTCATCAACATCTGTACCTGACAGAGGGGTCAATGAAAATTTTTGTCATCTTCACCAACATCATGTCTTTATTATTTCACATTCAAATATTGTGGACTGCTGCGTGTGTTCATGGTTACATGTTCTTTTCAAATATCCTTGCAGACTTCTTTTCTGATTTTGGAATCTGGAAAAAGCTATTACTGAATTGTGCCAAGCAATTCGGGCAGATAAAATCATGCAAAAAAAGACCTCCTACTCTTCTCTCTCTATTGATGGTTGCGTTGACCCAAAACCATCATCATACCAGCTGTGTTTAAAAGGAAGTTGACCCAAGACATGTCAACAAATGGCCTTATGACAGATCCAGCTGTCTGGGCTGGTAGTGGGGATTTCATCTGCACAGTTATATGTGTCATTCCTGCTGTAACGTTCACAGCTACGACATCGTGTCATGTCCAAAGCATCCCTTCTGATCGAAATAGCACTTCCAAGCCAAAAAATGGGTCACTGAAGCAAAATTTGGGACACACTGTAAAACGTTTGGATTTTGTGGGACCATTCAAATTGTCTTACATTATTTTGTGTTAACATGTATACCCACATTTATAATATTGTCTGGAATATGTTTTCGTAATTCTGAACTAGTATAATGTACAATTTGGTGAGGTGCAACTTTTAATTTTCAAACACAAGTTGCATTTGATTAGCAGATTTGCATTGTAACATGATACTAAACGGCGGTTACGGTCTGCAAAGCCATGTTGCTTCATGCACGAGTGCTTATGTTATGGCAGTGGCTGAATGACTATTTGGGAAACAAAAGCACTTCGGACAATATGCGTTTTCTCACCTGTCAATCTAACAGGTAACAGGACCCGCCGGTATCGAACACACAAAACAATCAGACAACCAAATGTACCCCCTCTCTCCATTCCCAACCAATTAATCAGGGTTAGATGGGTCTCCCTGCTTCATTATTACCTGGGAGCAGGCTGATGCCTGGTAAAGTGGTTCTCCCCACTCCATCAACAACACTGATAATGTTGCTCCTAACTCACAGCTCCTATTCTTTGCGTGGAATTGATTCCCCCAGTGTGAGCCGCACAGGGCAGATTAACTGGGCCGGGGTCCGGCCAGGTCAGTTTTCATTTGGCTCTGCCTCCCCTGACCCATTTGTCCAAATGTCCAGAACGGTTCTGCTGCGGCCCAGCATAACCAATAAACATGTACTGGTAAGGGGAGAGCATGTACGGGAAGGGAGAACTTTGAAGTAATTCCTGAGATGCTATCTCAGTCAGACAGCTTTCCACTACTGTGGAGCTCCTGTAGCCATTTCATTTCACAGTGCCCAACTCAGGGGGCTTGCAATTGACCTCTCTACCATGGAAGGCTTTGAAGTCATTTTCAAGATGCTGTCTTTTGTTCACCACATACACCGGGCACACTTTCTTTAAAATCATTGTTCCACACTCATGTGTTGCATCTTAAACGATTTCTACTTGAGACCTTTCCTAGGTAGTTTCAGCAAAAGGTTACATAGAAATCATCTAGAAACTTTGTAGTCCCTCATGGTCTATTTTGCATACATTTCTTTTGGACCTTTCACTTCTTGAGCACAGCGATTTAACTGTGACCTTTTCGAGGGAAGCCATTGATGTGGTTTTCAGAGGTTATATCTACAAGGCTTCAATCAGCTGGAGTTTTTCTCAGATCAACCCTTTCTCATTGTAAATTCCACATCCACTGCTTCTTACAATGACCTTCTCCTAGGAGACCTGACCTAACTCTTCTGTCAGCTAGTATATTTTCCATGCCACTTTTTCTACCCCAGCATCAGCATTGTTACCGAGCTCTGGGAGTTGAGATAATGCGAGATTGTGATGGTAAGTTAACAGTTTTCCCTGTCACAATGGTCCTTCTTTTAAAAAAAATTGCCAGGCCTATTACGATTTTTAAAGGGAGGTCGCTGTTCTGCTTCATTGCAACGACTGTGTCAGATTGACTTTATGTCTCTGGGCACCACAGTTTGGAAGGACCCTTTGTTCAACCCTTTCTTTTCCCTTTTAAATTATGGAGGCTGCGGTTTAGTCAAGGGGCACATGTTAGCAGCCGAGCCTTTACCTGGCATGGCAACCGCTATTGTTGAGGAGGTGGTGTTTCCATCCGTGTGTTCTACAGTACAGTTGTACAGGCCCTTATCCTCCTCCGCCGCTGACTTGATGGTGAGGGTGTAGCTTGGAAGACTCAGGACAAACTTGGAAGGGTCCGTCACGGTGACCTGGTTGTCGGACGTGTCGCTGAAGGAAGCCACATTGGTCCCATCCTTTATCCACTTGACATGTTTGATGTTGGCAGACTTATTGTTGGCCGCCGTGCAGTTGAGAGTCACGTTCTGCCCCAGCTTGAGGGTGTAGGCATCGGCACGCACTGAAAACAACAATGAACCCACAGTGAGACACAATTTTCTCAGTAGGGCACTTACTCCCATGGTTTACTCAGTGAATAGGTGGGAATCACGGAATGGTGAGGATGGGAGTGAATTATTTCAAACTCTTTGGGCCTCAATTGCCCATGACTACAGAAAGTGACGGAAGCTTTGCGGTATGTAGATGTCCAATCAAGCCAGCACACAGACCTACAGATCAGGACAAGATAACCTTTATGTTAAGAATGAAGCCACTGGCAAGTGGTAAATTGCTCTCTTTGTAAGATACTGACCAGTGGTACCTTTGGTAAAGATCGTCATTTTCATAAAAAATTCTCTGTATACATCTGTGTGTGTGTGGGGGGGGGAGTTCAGCAACGAAAAAAACTTTTTCTGTACAACACATGGTTGAAATACATACGTTCAAAGGTGCCATCAATCCTGAATAGATCAAAGACACTTTAACTTTAGTTAAGTTTAAGTGAGTAATCAGTGATATATATCTAGTATGTTATACGACATTGCTAAAAATACTGAGGTTGTCTTCATGTGCATAACAATTCACACATTACAAACGTGACTTCCGGTATTATAGATAGGAACAGTGCGACCCTTGTTCTTCAAGTGTCTGGCCCCTGCTTTTGAACTATGGTATGTAGATAACAATGCCTTCAAGCAGTATTCTGTCACTACCATGTTTCAACCACTGACTTCATGTATTAGTCAGACTAAACGTTGTAATTATTCAAGTTTGACCTCTATAGTATGCATGGCATTGGCATTGGTAGAATCATGGGGAAGAGTAACAACAAAGAGTTGATAATATTTCTGATTGTGTTACACAAAAAATAATATTACTTTTGTGACTGTATAGCTTTAACTGCCTGATTGCATTTAGCATTAAATGTCAGCCATTCATGGCAGCAATACAAATTCTTTCTTTCTTCTATAGTCTCACACTGACAGCATTATATCAATATACAGAAAAACAGCTTTGAGTTTTTTGACAGACAATTATGTGGTATGCAGCAGATCATACCAGCACACTATACTGTAAATGCATTTACTGTCACAGTAGTTTTATGATGCAGTAATGTATGATGAAAAAGAGTGTTTTACTGTGTTTGAAACAATTCTGTAATTTAATAGAAATTCGTAACCTTATATTATTTGTGGTGTTAAGACTTTTCATTACCAGTAACACTGCAAAAATACTGTACAGCTGTCACAAACATTTCACGATTTACAGTACTACTACACTATAGTCCTCCTCCTTCTTCAATCTAATTTACAGAGCCATGCAGACCTGTAGTGTTGGAGTGCAATTAGATCATCACTTAGAGGTTTCTATTTCTGTCCCACAAGAGCTGATCCCTGCACCCACATCTCTGATGAGAAGATAAGTCTGCCATTCTCTGTTCACCAAACAGAACCAAAGAAGCTCTACGGGTGGATCTGAGTGAAAGAACCTGAAGATCAACAAAACAACAACAACACTGATGCTATCACGGCTACTAGTCTGACAAGACCTATTCCTAGAGCATCTTTCTGCTTGACTGGATGTAAAATATTTTGCCAACCAAGAGGGTACAAATCCTTGTTTGAAACTCCTTGCTACAACCGTAGCCAAGAATGTGTACTTATCTGACACAGTACCAGGACTCGAAATTAACTTTTCTTCCTATTGTCCCACCACTGTCCCAAAAATAGATTTCAATTGTCCCGAAATGAGGATAAGCTGTCCCAACCTGTATTATGGAAAGTATGCATGACTTCAACTTGAAGTCAACTTTATTTTGCTTACATTCTGACTCCCAGAGTAGACAGGAAATTCGGGGGAACTTTTCTGGAACCAAAAGCTGGGACGTGTGCCTGATAAACAAAAGAAGGGCTGACATTCTAGATCTGATGTTGATTATTGTCCCCAAAATGTCCCAAAGTGTCTTTTTAGTTGTCCTAGCCTAAATTTAAGTGGTCAGTGGCCATCGGGACACCGTTAATTTCGAGCCCTGCAGTACTACACTGTACACCATATGGGAGGCATAGGCTAAACTAAGCTAACACATGGTAATAATATACTTCCTGCCCTCCCTCTATTTGTATACAAGAGGATATACACATCATGTAGGCATAACAAACTGGACAAGTGGTATCCTGACTCAATAATCATACTAATTACTGTCTTGAAAGAACTTTGCAATGCCTCTTCTCTGTATACATACTGGTACATGTCCAGCAAAAATATGTACGACCCTGCTTTCATTTTTGAAGAATTTTCTTCTAGACCTTTCTTACTGGACAGTGAATTCTTGAATCATATGAAAGGAAGTTTTGCATCATAAAAAAACCCTTTATGATATTTACTATAATGAGAATTGTATCCAACAACTACACTCTGAAAATCTTATGATTAGTCTACTCTTTTACGTTTTAGTGACCCGAAACTCATCCAAATCCTTCATCCAGAAAAGGGCCGCTCTAAAAGGGAAGGTCGATGAACTTGGCCATGATTCAAAGAGGGCTTTTCCTAGAACATTTTCCAGAGGTCTGTTGTATCTCCAGACAGGAAGTGCCATTAGCAGCCATGTTTCAACCTTGTAGGTACAGCTGGCGTCAACAAGAGGCTTCTGGAAGACATACATGTACGAGTACATGTATTTTGGTAACCTTAGCTGAGTTTTAGGGTCACTTCTTAGAAAAAAATCACATGTGTGGGTTATGGTAATTGACAGGAGGAAAATGTTTTTGACAACTATATGAATGTCTTACACTGTTAAGTTTTCTGACAAAAATGATCATCATAGTCAAGTGTACTGGGAAAACCTGTGTCATACCAGGCATACATTGTACAGTACGTACTTACAAACATTCGTAATACATACTGGTATATGTATACTAAGGACTTTACAAATCTATCATACATGTAGCTATAACAGTTCTTTGTGTACTGTAACTCTGTAACTATTCCTCTTTGAAATGATTAATTCATTAATGTTCCGTTAGGCTCTAATTTAGTGATATATACGCCACAAGTCAATACGCCCTGTCAGTAATGATGTGGCCCTGCCCATGAGTAATGACGCACTTGTACATGTCATGCCAATCATAACATGTCGACCGTATCTTGGAAATCACCACACACGCTATCTCAGCTAGCCCTGTCCTCGCCCTGCTATTTGCCAAAAATGACCTCTGATTAAGATTGCACCAGTAAATCATTCGGGGATATGTTACCCTCTGTTACCAATCATCACATGTTAGTACATGACAATTACAGCAAATGAAAATGCTGGGATTGTCTGCTTAAAAGGACCGTAATTCATTCAACATGGTGGTACGAGTGAACATTTTAACAAAACAGAATTTAAGAGTACCACTGTCGTGCACAGGTAACAATGGGCTTGAACTTTGCTCCCAAACAACATGTCACGCTGAGTCAACATGAAAGTGGAAGATTAAAACCTTTTATGTGCTTTGACTGGCACGAAAGTATGGCTTCCTCTTTCTCAGATCAGCAGAACTGAATACTAAAAGATTTTTGGCATGGTACAAACAAAAATACATGTACAACTTGATATTCTTTATCAAACTGCAATCTTTCTATGACTCATGATTATTCTCCTTTCTTTTTGGGGAAGGAGAATGGCCTATTTCAAATAGTATTTGCCAACTATCAACATTTGGCCTACCACAAGTTTTTTTACCCTGTGTTCCTTGTTTAAGAAATGTTTAACTGTTCCCAGGAACTTGAGGAAGTAACAACTTTGGCAAGTCATCGTGAGGGTTTGATTTTTACTCTTTTTTTTTAATCCAGACCACACAGCGCACAGGAAACACTTCCTTTTGAGCTAGACCCTACACAGACCGTGACAAACATGTACAATGGAATTGCTAAACTGAATACAATCTCTGAATACATTGAAGATATATGAAGACTATGGACAATGTTAGAAACCATTACAGCATTGTCATCTCATTGTCATCACCTTTGATAAAATGAAACTTCTCTTTACAGTAGTACAAATGAGTACAATATATCTTTATCTTTATATAAAGGTACAGTATAAAGATATAAAGAATTTTACAGTACATGTAGTATAAATATTAATACTATAAATGAGTACAGTATATTTTTTTAGCTTGGTACAATTGAAATATAACTAGACATTCATTTTTAAATGAAATTTTGAGCTTTCTGTGTCCTGATTACATGTTTCCTTTCAGGGGGAACAGAGTCTTTAAACAACAATACACATTTCTCCAGGCATGTTTTTACAAATTCCAAGAACTGAGGAAGTATCTCTTACTATCTATTGTCCTGTAATGAAATTGAAAGATTCTTCAGCACTAAACATAGCAATCACGAAACATCGCTCATAGTATACTCACGGGATTAATATCATATCATATCATGTTTATGGCTGGGTAGGAGTATTCTTTTTGGTTAATGTAGTGATAATTCATAATATCACAATCTTTCCCTTGAGTATAACAACTTTGGAACGGACACAAAGGAATAAAAGGTTGGTACAACATGTCAGAAAAAAAGGATTTCTGTTCCTTACTTTGACTAAACAAGTCTTAAAGCACTAGTTCTCTGTAAATTTCGTGTATTGCGTGTTATCTGGGTCGTTTGCTTGCCGAGTTTATCAGTCTGTACGTGTCACACACAGTTTGGGCAGAAGGGATGGCAGGGCAAAATTATGTCGTCCGGCCGTGCCCCCTACACAACCTCAAGCTGTGCATTTCCCCCTTTCCCATGGCCACAAACAGCACTTACCTTGCACCAAAATGACGACGAACATGTAGAAATGGAGGTGAACTTTCCAGACATCCCTCATGTTTCTCGCTGGGAGGACGTCTGGCCTATTTACAGAAGCAGACGATATGGGAAGCCCGACCTACAAAATGGATAGTTGTGGACTCTCTTGCGACCCCCGCGAAAGGCTGTGTCCAAAAACGAGGAAGTTCCGCTGGCAAACTGCGCTCCATAAATGTATGAAGACCTAAACTACATTTTCTATGAGCTACTTTAACACTCGTTCCTATTATACAGTCCTGGCGTTCTCACTTCCGACGGAAGAACGACGAGAAATTAAAGTGGAAGTGACATCAGTGCCGTAGGAATCCTCTTTCGGGCTAGGTCAGCCATCTTAGGGACAGACCACTGTGGCATGGTGAAGGGGGGTTCCGTTATTGTTGTGGCGTGATTTTTCAGTTTTAGAAAAATTTAGTTTAAACCATTCATTTATTTATTATCATACTCTCTATTGCTTTCTAATGATATTCACAGTAATTTGAAGTCATATTTTGAGGAAAAATTGTGCCATATGTCCTACTGAAGCTGTGCCTTTCCAGTGAAATATCCCAAACATTTTGTGGCTGGCTTCTGTGCCAATTTAAAAGATACTGAACAAAACGACAATTTAATAGATAAAATCTTCTTAATTATGAGATTATTTACATTTTACGACATGAATTACTTAATATTTGTATATAAATTCTTATTTGATGGTTTTACTTTGAGAATATACAAGAAAATTTCACCAAAAAACGCACAAATTATAAGGCTTAAAATGCCATTACCAAAGACAGCTACAAAGTGCTGGCGGGACGATCAGATTGAAAAAGGTTAGAAACTAGATAGTAATACTAGAAAGGCCGACATTTGCTTGAGAGCAAATGCAGCAGATGGCTTCACCACATCCCCCATACCGAAAATGGATCTATCCTACGATGGCTGCCAATAGTCTACACCCCCATGCAGCAATGGAACCTTCCAATGCCGGAAATAGCCAAAAAGCCCTATTTTACATAACTTTAAAGTGGTGTATGTCAAAATCGAGAATGACATTCTTTGGACATGTGTCCAAGGTATCCCCATACCAAATTTCAGGTCATTCGGATTTAATATTAGGGCACAGGAGCCAAAAATGTACATTTTTGGTCCGAAAATAGCAAAAAAG